AACATACTACTAAGCCTAAAAACAAGTATTTATACATTTGAAAGGATTGAAATCATAGCAGTGTATTCTCAGATTACAGTAAAATTCAATTAGAAATCAACAAGAAAATGGGAAAATCCCTAGGTATTTGGAAAGTAAAAATACATACTTTTAAATAACAAATGTGGAGTCAAACAACATAGTTCCAGTTTTCTAAAAATCACAAAAAGTATTAGTAAATATTTGTAAATCATTGAAAAAAGTCAACATATCAAAATTTGTGACATGCAAACAAGGTGTGCATACAGAGAAATATAAGGTTTTACATGCCTATGTTAGGAAATAAGTCTCAAATCAAGAACTTAAAATTTTCTATTAAGCAATAAAAAAAGAGAGCAATCAATCTAGAGCACAAATAATAAAATATAAAAGAATAATGTTGAAATTATGAAAAAGAACTTGAAAAAGTAGATAAATCAATGGATCCAATACTTGCTTCACTGAATATGCATCAAATTTGCAAATTTTTATTTATATTTTACAAAAGGGAAACAAAGGAGCCAAGTTCCTATAATTTTTAAGAACTTTGTATTTCAAAAGGCAAGCTCGATCAGCTCTATGAAAGATTATGCCTATGGGACATTGAGATATTGGGCAAAATAAAACTGAGGATGTGTAGGTCAATATCAGGCATTCACAGGTACTTTTGTTTCTTCACTGGAAAAGCAGTAGGGGGGAGTCAATGACAAGAATAGCCATTCAGAGATAGCTTTCTAGTATATTCAGTATATGTCATTATTTAGGTAGGATAATATTTTAATCATTTTAGCCATATTTTGTATGCATATTTCTTGTTTTCCCCAACAAATTATTATTAAGAAGTCACTTTAAAATGGGCTTGTTAGGCAGTTTAATCAAAATAATGTTGATATTCCTATTGACATTGGCATTGTACTGTTGTGCTTTAATTATATTACTTTCCACAGAAAGAAACTCAACTTGAAGTTGATAAATTGTAAGAAATATAAGTTACAATCTCTTCACATTCTCCAGAAATGGATTCCTGGATAATAGAATGACAAATAAACTGTAATAAGTGATTTAAATCAATATATACCATCAAGAAAAAGTTAATGTGTTTGGACAAAGGATTAAGTAACTTCTTTCTTTCTTCTCCTTTCTTGGATCCTACTACATAGTCAGATGAAAATGAAAAATTCATTCTGAATGTTCAAAATAATAAAATTCGAGCAACTGTTTGGATTGTTTAAGTATTAATATTTAGAACTAAATAGTTGGTCCATATTTCTGTATTTAGCATCTTCGACTCAGTCCACTGAACAAGAAGTTCTTGCTGTACATTTTGTGACCAATTTCTTTGACCATTTTCAGCACATGTTTGCATTGACCTTGATCTTTTATTCTTGGCATCTTCTAAATGTCACCAAGTTGGCTGGTATTGATAAGATTAAAAAAAGAGCTCAATCATTTAAAAGATAAATTAATGTGATCTTTATGATGTTAAATTTGAAATTTTGTGAGCACTTTAGTTAAGGTTAATGTATCTGAGTGTTCCTTATTTTTGGCTTGTAGAATAAAACTGAAATTCAAATCCACAATTATTAAATTTAATTAAAAATCAAAAAACTTTAAAACAAAATTTTTTGACATTCATGGCAAACCTGATCTCAACTGATATATGCCTGCTAGTTCAAGTAGTTGAATATTTACATATTTTGATACACAAGTATTACCATATTTGATTATGGGTCATTGCCCAGAGATCCCACTGGGAAGTCACATAGTACATATATATGTAGTGCATTATGTTTCTAAAATATTTTTTTAAAGTCCTCTAAATTCTATGATACTTGTAGTACAGAGAGTTTTAGATAAGTTATAATAAACCTGTGTGCTATACAACAGTTATTTTTTCCTGTTGACTTTTTTTTAAAGACCCATTTTGATGAACTTAGAAGTTTAACCATAGCTTTGGGTTTCCAGGATCATGCTGATTGACTATTCTTTCAATTATATCTGACATTTTGAGATTATGTAGACAGATTTGAAATGTGTGAATAGAGACAAGTAGATGATCCTAAAGAAACCTTAGAATTTAGGTTGCATAGCAATCAGTTGATTGGAGATTGGTAATTTTTCTTTCTCTAAAAATCCAATGGCAGAGTTTATACCTGAGATCACTTTTCTAGAAGACTGAGTTGTAGGTGGGCAGTGGAAGACTCTGCTTACACACTTGATCTGCATTTCATGCAAGGTCATTATGTTGAAGCTCAACTTTATCCAAGCCCCCCAAATTTTCATGCATAGCTGACCTTTATACCGGATATAATGGTGTCTAAACCTTGCTCTGTTTGATTCATATGCATAAGTCATTTCCAACACTTCCATTATAAAGAAGTTGAAAGAGAAAAATTAAAAGAAATAGTTCACCTAACTAGGTCTCTACACTCTAAACAACTACATGTCCAGCAACATAGACCAGGAACAGGTTGATTTCAGGAACTAGAATAAGGATCAGGCAATCCATTCACCTGAGTGCTCTTAGAAGCCCTAATTGAGGACCACAATGGATCCTTTGATTGGAATTTTTTAAATCTTCCTAGGATATTTTTGTTGTTGTTATCAATACTATTCTATTTAAATATTTGGAGGCAATGAAGAATAAAAGATAAATGTCAGTGTTAACACTGTGCTAACAAGACTTGTAGCTTGCCAAATAGTCTACTCACAAACAGCAAGAACTTTTTCAGATGACCTAGTCATAGACACAAAATAACAAATAATCATGTGCTTTCTCCTTACACTATATGATTTTTCCCCAATAAAACCTATTTACACAATATATATTATGAATTGAAAAACCCGTGTGGGCTTATTATGCCAAATCAAGACATTCAATCACTTTAATATTCTTCCATAAATCGTAATTTAGTTAATAAATACACAATTGATATATGAACCCATAGAATTACATATGCATGTTATATTTTAATTAAAATACTGTCATATTATTATATCTGTATCTTCAAACAAATGCTCACTTTTAAAGAGATCAGGTTAGGAATTTATTCTGCTCATATATAAAACTTTTTAAAACTTGTTTAAAGAAATGCCTATTTTATTGTTTTATGAATCATAGAACTCTAGTACCGTTACTTCATAGTTGTACTTACTTTTGTAATGGTATTGTCATGTTTAATCATCCAGATTGATTCAGCCATTAATTTTAATAAAAAATCATATTTCCAACAAGGTGAAGAATACGTCCTCACCAAGAGTATACTTAAGAAAGTATTATAGGCTTAAGGCATTTCCCACAGTTGACCAATACTAATACCTTGTGGTAATTTTTTGAATATTCTCTGTATCAACCATGTAAATGCAATAACAGACTCTTCCTCATTGTTGTCAATCAGAGTTTCTACTGTTACTACTTTAGGAGTTGCTTTCATGACAGAACCAGAAAATTAACTACTACCTTTGCAACAAAAAATAAAGTCCTCACCTCTCATTCATTTCAGTTCCTTGCCAAAAGCTATGGAAGCAGCCTTGCTACTGAGCCAGACTCTGAACTTCTCTTCACTACTATCCCTTGTCCCTATCAGCATTAGAAGGTTAGGCAAGCTACATTTGCCTGTGTAAGACACAGCCCCTACAAGGTCACAGTTGAACATTTTCCCCTCATATCTTCATTTGAATCTCTAGATGCACAAACATTCAAGGGAAAGATAATTTACTTAACTCTGCACACTACGTATATTTAAATCTTAGATCAAATCTAACTCTTAATCTTAAATTTATAGGATTTATGATCAATTTTCTAAAATTATAGGAATATCCTTGCAAGGCAATGTTCTAAGTGTTTTAAACCTATAGTATCCTATTTAATAGTCAAAACAATGCTTTATAGAAAGTATCAAAATACTCAGATGAAAAAATTACAAAACAGAGAGTTGAACTTACAGCTAGTTAAATGGCAGAGCCACAATTTAAATATATATATTTAAGAATATATACTTCTAATCACTACACTATGCTAACTTATAATACATATAAATTGTTTTTACAACAAAAAATATAATGAACAATATAGTAGCCGTTTTTATGCCAAAAGAATAATTCTACCTCTATGTCTTCCAGGAAAAATGGTAGGATTGTATTTTCTGGCTCATTTGTAAGTATGTGCTGGTTCCATGTAATTCCAGTAAATAAATTCTGTATATTATTTCCAATAATATGTAATTGCCTGTGAGACTGACATAGAGAGGGATATATTTTATGTGGTGGATGCTCCATCTGTTTGGGTTTCTTACCAAATACAGTGAGTAGAGGTATCTGTCAATCTGTGCAGGAAATATACTTGAACAAAAATCAAAATTATATTGCTTTAAGGCACATAAATTTGAGAACTGCTTATTAATAACAAACAGTAAAATTAAAACACATTACATGTTCTGATACAAGTGTAGCAAAAAATTACAAAAAAATGTGCTAAGAAATAAATGTCAATCATTCTACCAACTTTCATCAGAATAAAAACGAAACATAAATATTTTTATAATACATTTTATATTTATTTCATGATTTTATATGTCTTACTACCATTTGTTAGCATCTTTTGCTAACAAGTAATTTCTTGCTTTCTTCATCCATCATTGTTAAGTAAAAATTAATATGTATAATGGCAAAAGACTTGCAAAACAAAATAAGTATGCAGTTTACTACCAGTGGCCTAGCTCACTTAAAACAACAAAATTTTCATCCTGAAATAACTTAATCCATCAAGTGGATATCAGCCACCTGATATATGCCTATTTCTACTGATCTGGTAATTAGGGCAGATTTTTAAAATTATTTTTCAAAGTAGCCAGATAATTTTAAGATGCTTCAAATTATATTTTATATATGGACTTAGGACACTTCTAAGATTGGAATAACAGTTTCTCAAGCAAACAAATTTATTGCTAATAATGAATATAACTGTCTTTTGAAATCTTCTAGTGCTCACTTTGGCAGCACATGCACTAAAATTAGAAAGATACAGTGAAGATTAGCATGGCCCCCTGCACAAGGATGATATGTAAATTCATGAAATATTCCATATTTTTACAAAACTTCTGGACACATACACACTCCCAAGATTGAGCCAAGAAGAAATTTAATCCCTAAACAGACTAATAATGAGCTCTGAAATTAAAGCAGTAATAAATATCCTACCAACCTTTAAAAGCCTAGGACCAGATGGATTCACAGCCAAATTCTATCAGATGTACACAAAAGAGCTTGTACCATTGCTACTAAAATTATTCCAAAAAGTTGAGTAGGAGGGACTTCTCCTCAACTCATTCTCTGAGGCCTATATCATCATGAAATGAAAACCTGGCAGACACACACACACGCAAACACAAGAAAACTTTAGGCCAATATCCTCGATGAACATCGGTCCAAAAATCCTCAACAAAATACCCAGTAGCACATCTAAAACTTATCCACCATAATCAAGTAGGCTTTATCCCTGGAATGCAAGGTTAATTTAACATAGGCAAATCAGTGAATGGGATTTATCACATAAATAGAACTAAAGATAAAAGCCACATGATTATCTCAATAGACACAGATAAGGCTTTTGATAAAATTCATCACACCTTCATGTTAAAAACTCCCAACAAACTGGCCAGGCATGGTGGCTAATGCCTGTGATCCCAGCACGTTGGGAGGCTGAACCAGATAGATCACTTAAGTCCAGGAGTTTAAGACTAGCCTGGGCAACATGGCGAAATCCCATCTGTAATAAGAGTACAAAAAAAGGGAAAATAAAAATTAACTGGGCATGTTGGTGTGGACCTGTAGTCCCAGCTACTCAGGAGGCTGAGGCATGAGAATCACTTGAACCCAGGAGGCAGAAGTTGCAGTGAACTTAGATCTTACCACTGTACTCTAGGCTGGGCAACAGAGTGAGACAAAAACAAAACGACACAAAAAAACAAAACTGTCAGCAAACTAGGTATTGAATATATACTTCAAAATAACAAAAGCAATCTATGACAAACCCACAGCCAACATCCTCTTGAATGGGCAAAAGTTGGAAGCATTCCCCTTGAAAACTAGCACAATACATGGATGTTCTCTCTCACCACTGCTATTCAATATATTGTTGGAAGTCCTGGCCAGAGCAATCAGAAAGTGAAAGAAATAAAAGACATCCAAAAAGGAGGAATGAAAGACAAACTATTATTTTTTTAGAAAGAAAAAAAAAGTGAGAAAGAAAAAAAATGAAGGAGAGGAAGAAAGAGGAAGAGAAAGAGGGAGAGAGAACGGGAGTGTTGCTTTATTGGACAGAATTCAGGCTAGAATGCAGTCTAAAAATGGGTATTGAAAACCTCTTTTATGCCAATAATTGTGCTTAAAAATGGAGACAGGAAAAAATGAGGGAAGAAAATAACAAACAAGTAGCCAACCAATATTTCATTTAAACCTGTGAGTAGGTGTGTTGTGGTACTAATAAGAGTGTATATTTTGTGTATATAAAGTGGAGAGTTCTATAAATATTTATTAAGTTTACTTGTTTCGGATCTGTGTTCAAGTCCTGGATATTCTTGTTAATTTTCTGTCTCATTGATCTATCTAATATTGATGTTGAAGTCTCCCGCTATTGTTGTGTTGGAGTATAAGTCTGTTTATAAGTCTTATGTATCTGGGTGCTCCTGTATTGGGTGCATATATATTTAGGATTGTTAGCTCTTCTTGTTGCATTGATCCTTTTATTGTTATGTAATGACCTTCTTTGCCTCTTTTGACCTTTGTTGCTTTAAAATCTATTTTATCAGAGGTGAGAATTGCAACTCCTGCTATTTATTTATTTATTTATTTATTTATTTATTTATGCTCTCCATTTGGTTGGTAAATCTTTCTCCATCCCTTTGTTTTGAGTCTTTGTGTATCCTTGCATGTGAGATGGGTCTGGATGCAGCATACCGATGGGTTTTGGCTGTGTCTTTTGATTGGGGGATTTAGTTGATTTAAATTTAGGATTAATAATAATATATGTGAGTTTATTACTGCCGTTTAATGTTAGCTGGCTGTTTTGCCCATTAGTTGATGTAAATTCTTCGTTATGTTGATGCTCTTAACATTTTGGTATATTTTTTGAAAGGCTAATACTGGTTGTTCCTTTCTATGTGTGATGCTTCTTTCAGAAGCTCTTGGAAAGCAGGCCTGGTGGTGATGAAATCTCTGAGTACTTGCGTGTTCATAAAAAGATTTATTTTTCCTTAGCTTGTGAAGCTTAGTTTGTCTGGATATGAAATTCTGGGTTGAAAGTTCCTTTCTTTAAGGATCTTAAATATTGGCTCCCACTCTCTTCTGGCTTGTAGGGTTTCTACTGAGAGATCTGCTGTGAGTCTGATAGGCTTCCCTTTCTGGGTAACCTGACCTTTCTCTCTGGCTGCCCTTAGATTTTCTCCTTCATTTCAACCCTGGTGAATCTAATGATTATGTACCTTGGGGTTGCTCTTCTTGAGGAATATCTTTGTGGTGTTCTCTGTATTACCTGAAGTTGAATTTTGTCCTGCCTTGCTAGGTTGGGAAAGTTTTCCTGAATAATATCCTGAAGAGTATTTTCCAGCTTGGATTCATTCTCTTCATCACATTCAGATACACCTATCAAACGTAGATTAGGTCTTTTCACATAGTCCCATATTTCCTGGAGACTTTGCTCATTCCTTTTTATCCTTTTTTCTCTTCTTGTTTTATTTCATTAAGTTGGTCTTTGACCTCTGATATCCTTTCTTCTGCTTGATCAATTTGGCTGTTAAAACAATGCATACTTTGCAAAGTTCTCATGTTGTGTTTTTCAACTCCGTTAATTCACTTATATTCTAAATTGTCTATTCACTCTCTAAATTGTCTATTCTCATTAGCATTTCATCAAACCTTTTTTCAAAGTTCTTAATTTCTTTGCATTGGGTTAGAACAAGTTCTTTTAACTCCCAGAAGTTTCTTATCATCCACCTTCTGAAGTCTACTTCTGTTAATGGAACACACTCATTCTCCATCAGGCCTTGTTTCATTGCTAATGAGGAACTGTGATCCCCTATAGAGGGAGAGGCATTCTGATTTTGGGTATTCTCAGCCTTTTTAGGCTGGCTTCTTCCCTTCGTTATAAATTTATCCATCTGTCGTCTTTGTAATTACCGGCTTTCTAATTAGATTTCTGAGTGGACGTCCAATTTGTTGATTCCTAGCCCCAGAATCTGAGCAACCCACTGAGCTGGCTAAAACAGTGGTGTTAGGATTGATGGTGCTTTTCTGCCTAGGAATCTCTGGTCTGGCTTTTTTCTTGAGTCTGTCCTTCAATCAGCTGAATAGGTGACTCTGCCTTCCCAGAGCTCCAAACGTCAGCCAAAAGCAGACCCATTTACTCTGCACCAAGAACCACTGCACCGAAGTGCCGGCAAAACCACTGCACCAGCCACAAGAGTTGTGCTGGCAACCCATGGGGCTCCTCTGCTGGGAATCTCCTGGTCCATGAGCAACAAAATTCATCTGAAAGTGTGGCATCCTCTTGTTCTCTGCGCTTTCACTGGGAGCTACAATCCCAGCTTCTAGTGATCAGCTATCTTGGATCTCTCTCCAAAAGACAAACTATTCCTGTTTGCAGACAACATGATCTAATATCTAGAAAACACCGTAGTCTTGGCTCAAAGTCTCCTTAAGCTGATAAATAATGTCAGCAAAGTCTCAGGATGCAAAATCAATGTACAGATATCCCTAGTATTCCTATATACCAACAATAGTCAAGCCAAGAGCAAAATAAGGAACACAATCCTATTCAGAATTGCCACAAAAAGGACAAAATGCCTAGGAATACAGCTAACTAACCATGAAGGTGAAAGATCCCTACAAGGAGAGCCACAAAACACTGCCCAAGGAAATCAGAGAAGACCAAACAAATTCATGTTTATGGATAGGAAGAATCAACATGATTAAAATGGACATACTAGTACAAAGCAATGTGTAGATTCAGCACAAATTATTTTTTATCAAATTATCAATGACATTCTTCACAGAACTAGTAAAAACTATTTTAAAATTCATATGAAGCAAAAAAAGCTCAAATAGCCAATGTAATTCTAAGCAAAAAAAAAAAAAAAAAAAAAAAAGAAAAAGAAAAAGCTGGAGGTCTCATGCTACCTAACTTCAAACCATACTACAAGGTTATAGTAACTGAAACAGCATGGTACTGGTATAAAACAGATGCACAGACCAATGGAACAGAATAGAGAGCCCAGAAATAAGACCACATAACTACAACTATCTGATCTTTGACAAAGCTGACAAAAAAAAAGCAATGGGAAAAGGACTCTCTATTCAGTAAATGTTGCTGAGATAACTGGCTAGCCATATGCAGAAGAATGACACTTAACCCATTTCCTTACACCATATAAAAAATCAACTGAAGATTGATTAAAGACTTAAAAGTAAAACAAAATTACAAAATCCCTGAAAAATGACCTAGATGGAACAATTCTTGGCACAGGAACCAGCAAATATTTCATGATAAAAACACCAAAAGCAATTGCAACAAAAGCAATAATTTACAAATTGATCTAATTAAACCAAACAGCTTCTGCACAGCAAAGGAGACAATCAGAGTAAACAGAAAACCTACATAATGAGAGAAAATTATTGCAAACTATGCATCTGACAAAGGTCTAATATCCAGTATCTATAAGAAACTTAAATAAATTCACTAGTAAACCAAACAATCCCATTAAAAAGTGGGCAAAGAACATGAACAGCCAGCTTTCAAAAGAAGACATAAAATAAGCATATTTTTAAAATCTGACCATCACAGATCATTAGAGAAATACAAATCAAACCACAATGAGAAACCATCTCACACCAGTAAGAATGGCTACTATTAAAAACTCAAAAATAACAAGTGCTAGTGAGGTTGCAGAGAAAAAGAAACATTTAAAAATTGTTGATAGGAGTGTAAATTAGTTCAGTCATTATGGAATATAGTGTGATAATTTCTTGAAGACCAAAAGTTAAACTACCCAGCAATCTCATTACTGAGTGTATACCCAAAGGATAATAAATCATT